ATTGTAATATACGTTATATTTATACATGATTCATTAAGTAAATCGATTCTTCAATATATCGTCTTTTCGAATCATTATCTTTGTCGTTGATAAACACTTCAATACAATCCAGCCAGGGTTGTCAGACCAAAAAGTTATAAATGGAATATTACTGTAAAAAATCGGAGAAATGGAGACGTTTTTTTGCACTAGTTCCAAAACAATCAGAAGACTGTTATTTATTATTTCACTACAATATATTTGTTTAATTAGTATCTACTTAACTACATACAGCACAACGAAAATCAGAAATCGATAATAGTTGTGTTGTTTTGATCAAGATTTTCATAGGAGAAGCTTTTTTTTAAATAGTGACTCGAACTCATTATTTATGACTGAATGAAATTGAGTTACGACAATATAGAACGTTTAGTTTATTCCGAAAATAATTGAAATTCAAGGATGTGCTTACTGTTATTGATTTCAAAGATCTACAATATGGAACGATTTTAGAAGAATGTAAGAATTACTAATAAAATTTCAGCTAGACATCTTAATCAAATATACCAAAGGTGAGATCAAAGAGAAATATCACAATTTGGAAAAAACTCAGAAGAAATTGTTCTGGAAAAATGTCGAAATTCGGAACTTTTCCTGCAGTTTCCTGAGATCTACTAACCTTGAATCAAATATACATATGCATATCCTTTCTTGTTGGTGTTGTATCATTTCTGAATTGATATAATATCACCCTTTTTTATTTTATTCGTTTATGATGTGATATTTTTTTTATATAAAACTTTAGTTCTCCATAATAAAGCTGTCACTGTAATTATTGCGAGTTAAAATGTGAAACACGATATAGCTGCTGGTAGTCATCTCAGAGAGATAACATTTCAGTATAACCTTATATTTAATCATATTAAGGATGTGGGTGTACAGATATAGAGGACCCATACCCTTATCAAAAGATGTGCCTTCCCATCTTCAACAACAACATATAATATTTACCTTGACCTTTAGAAAAATCATCGTTTCATAAACACGACAAATAAAAAATAGCTTCCAGAATCCATCAAAATAGAGTGGATTTCACATAGTACAATAAACTCCTTTTAATCCACATAATGAGATACATAAAACATAGAGTTTTGCATCCAGATGATTTCTAAACAAAAATGAACCAAAACTAATGATTTTTGAGATACTAAAATTTTGAGTCGTCAAAATTCCTGAAGACTTTACTTAAATGTTATAAAAAAGTTGAGATCCTAACTATTTTTATGTTCTATCAAAGTAGTCTCAGTGTCTGTTTTTTCTCTCTTCCTAAATAATTTCCATAGATAGCACATGATACATGTGTAATAAGTAGTTCATCATCTTGAAAAATAATTGATGGTAGATTTGTTTTTGAGTGAATGTATTCTTTATCCGGTTTCGAACTGATTCAGAAACATCCGTCTAAAAACATAAAAAATCTTGTTTTATGCATGATTTTATCACAGAACTCACCGAAAATGTACTAGTATAATTATCAAATGGAATAAAATGTGCACTAAAATACATGAGAACATGGTAGTTTGTTAATATCTGTGCACTCTAAAGAAAATCCGTTTCCAAGAAAACCTAAATGAGCTCGGAAACCTTCTCGGAAACCCAAAAAGGTTTGCGAAAAGGTTTCCAATCTTTTTATAGGTTTCCAATAATACCTTTTAGGTTTCCGGATGTTTGGAAACCGATGAGTTTTCTAGAATACTAAATTCAATGCTCTAAAAGTATTCTGGAATACCTTTTTTTCGTATCGGAAACCCTATTACCATCTTTGGAAACCACTTAGGTATCCTAGGAAACCCATGTTGCAAAATAAGTTGATGTGGAACCCGATGGAGTATCCGAAAATACCTTTTTTGGTTTTCGAAATATTCTATCGAAAACTCTTTCGGTTTCTGAACTTCATGTATCTGAGAAGGGTATTGTAGAAAACCTATATTGGTTCCCAAACTTCATGTATCTCAGAAGGGTTTTGTAAAAAACCCACATTGGTTTCCGAAGTTAAGGAAATGTTCGCAATGATTTCTACAATAAGTTAACCTAGCGAACACTATTTCGAAAAAACTATTTGATATTGCAATATTCCTTTCTACTCTTTATTTTTGCAGAACTGTGAAAGACTTTTAGACAACTTACAGCGTTCATAAGTTTTGCATAAAATATATTATTATCAGTAAATCATCTTGCGTATCAATATTTTTAAGGAATCTAAAACTGCTTCATGTTGTCGACATATTCTAGACTTATCTTTATATTCTTAAATGAAAAACAACATCAGTCGAATTGTATTCGAAAATTTTGTAAAGAATACAACATTGAACTTCAAGATAAAACTTTATCGTCACAAGTCTATTGTTTTGAAGAAATAGAAAATACTGATCCACCATTAAATAAAGAAACTGAACAAAATGACGAGAATTTAATTATTGACAATAAACAAGATAGTCCTGAAAAAATAACAAATGTGACTCTAATATTTCAAGCAGAACCAATGTCAACTGATCCGCAAATCAGTCATAAAAGAAAGGCAGATCAGCTAGTTGATGAACAGGCATTATATAATGAAAATACTCCGCCAACGAAAAAACTAACTCGATCAACTCGTCGCAAACCATAGTTAAAATGGAAAAAGCAAAAAGCGGAATGAATAAAACTTATTCAATGCTGCTCTCTATTTCTTATTAAAATGAAGGAATTTCTTTTTCACTTCTTACACTAAAAAAGATTTTCATTTCCTTCTTTTTTATGTTCTTTTTGGTTTTTTTATTGGTCGAAAAGCCTTATTTTAATTGTAATTTTTCGATAGGAGTCGATCATAACAACAACTATTCTTTACTGATACGCGTTTTTAATTTAAAAAACTTTTTTTCTCCTCATTGTTTCTTTTAATAAAAACTTCTGGTTCTCATTTAACAAACTCTGTCAGATATTATCACTTGATAATTGTAACTAAACTATAATTTGGCCTCATCTTAACGAGGCATTGACAATAAGTAATATATTTTAAAAATGGAAAAAACTCATAATCTACTTTTTCTCTTTAGATTTCTTTTCATTCCAAGATATTCATATATTTGGTAAATTATTTTTCTTTCAAATTAATGATATTAATATTCTACCTTTTCTATTTAGGCTTATATTTTTATTCAACGATGCTCATGTTTAGTAAGTTATATGTCTTAGAAATTAAATATAATAAATCTTATGCTTTGTTATTTACAATTAGATTCTCATTCAGAGATATTCATATATTTGGTAAGTTATGTAATTTAGAAAATTAAAAATAATTAATCTTCTATTTTTTTATTTAGATTGATATTTTTAGTAAAAGATATTCTTATGTCGGGTAAGTTATATAAATTAGAAAATAAAAATAATTATTCTTCTCCTTTTTCTATTTAGAATTGGATTTTCATTCAAAGATATTCGTATGTCTGGTAAGTTATGTAATTTAGAAAATTAAAAATAATTATTCTTCTGCTTTTTTTTTAAGATTTAATTTTCGTTCAATGATATTTATACACTTGGTAAGTTACATAAATAAGAAATTAAATAAATCATTATTCTTCTTTTTTATTTAGGATTTTCTTTTCGTTCAAAGATATTCCTTCACTTAGTTAGTTATATGAATTATAAATTAAAAATAATTATTATTCTTCTTTTTTTATTTACAGTTCGATTTTTGCCCAAAGATATTCATATATTTGGTAAATTATACATTTTCAATTAATAATTATGATTTTATTTTCATTTATTATAGTACTTCTTGTGGAATTTCGCAAATCTTTGGGCGAGAGAACCAGCTATAGGTAGTATTTTATATGTAGGCCTAGGTGTGAGTGTGATGCTATAGTTTGCAAGGTGCCTCACAGAAACTAGATATTTTCAGCTTAGAAACCTTTGCTGAGTTTCTAAGCTGGATATCCAGTATTTTATAGGTATTGGTTTTTTCCGGGTTTTTGGTAGTTCGGAAACCGGTTTTGAGTTTCAGAACTGAGGGTTTTGTAAGGTATAGCTACGGGTTTTTAATGGGTTTCCGATAGTTCGGAAACCGGTGTTCGGAAACTCTTAACGAGTTTCCGATAGTAACAAACTCGGAAACTCTTATTCAGTATCCGAGAATACTGATTTTATTTAGAGTGTGACAATGCACACAAAGCGATATTTAAAGCTGAAGAAGTTTCAATGAACGTTACATCAAGGTCAGAATTGAATTGATATTTTAGTAAATGACACCATACTACCGAACACTCAGTTGACATTGTCGACAGATTTACTTCGAGAGATAATTACTTTAACAAGAGATATTCGCCATGATCTTTGTGTAATTGATAATTAGTTCATTAAAGTTTACGTAAAAATTGGTATATGCAAAGAGCTGCGTTTTTATTAGCTATCTTATAAACAACTTATTACATACACGAAATTCTTTGATCAACAAAATCCATTAAAAACTATATGATTTTGTTTTTGGTTGTTTACCTGGAGGATTCTTCTGAAATAAGAATTGAGATATTGAAGCAGATTGTTCATCAATTAATGATCTAAATAAAATGATATAATTTGATATTAAATTCCAGACAGTATAGAAGCTCGTAAAAGAAAATTCAGAAGACTGCTATTTGTTTTATTTGCTAAACTTTTTTCTTCGATAGAAGTTATTCGATAATTTACTCTCTTATTCTTTGCTTCGACCAAATAATATTCGAAAATGCATGTGTTCTTAATCAATCATAAATATTGTAATCATCTAATCGTGTATAGAAAAACTACTGGTTGATGTTTGCGTCTCAATCCTGTTATAAATACGACATTGTTTAATGAAAAACTCAAAAACTACTATGCCAAGAAAATAGATAGACATTCTTTCAAATAATCCGCCCCTCTCCTAGCTTTACCACATTTATCTTTCTCTTGTTCTGTACTCTGAAAACATAAAAAGGAGTTTCGCGGAACCTTCTTAGGGGTTCGGTCCGCGAGTACAATTCAGAACCCTTCAAAAAGCTTCTGGCTCAAAGTAGGTTGTGTGAAAAATTAACTGAATCATACATCTTTCCTCATCACAAAATGGTTCGGTCTAGAAAAAGGTTCAGTCAAAAACTGGACGAAACCATTAATTACCCCTTTTTAGAAGAGGTTCAGTTTCACACGCGAAACACCACATTTCGATGGTTTTCTTTTAAAAACCATCTTCGAATGCAGCAACAGGTTCTGCATTGCAGAATCTGCTGAATCTCTGCAAACTATATTGTCTTATTATGAGCATACGTACCTATCAAAATGATCAACGTGTTTCAAATGAGAACCAGATGTCAGCACAACAATAGTGATCGTGAAACTTCAAGTGCACAATTCAACATTGAAATCAGATGAGGATTAATCTAAAATAAAAAGAAGATATTACTTTTATATATTTAAAATATATAGCTTACTGTTGAAGTTAGATGAAGATGAATCTAAACATAAAAGAACATATCAGTTTTGTTTATTTAGAATGCATAACTTACCCATCAAATCACATGAAGACGAATCTAAATATAAAAAAAAGATATTAGTTTTATTTATTTTAAAATATATAACTTACTTTTGAAATCAGTTGAAGATCAATCTAAAATAAAAGAAAGATATTATTTTTCTTTCTTTATTTAAAATATATAACTTACTTACGAAATTAGATGAATGTGAATCTAAAATAAAAAAGAAAATGGTAGTTTTGTTTATTCAAAACATATAACTTACTTATGAAATCAGCTGAGGAGAAATCTAAACATAAAACAAAGGATATTAGTTTTGTTCATTTTAAAGTACATAACTTACTGGTGAAATCAGATGAGGATGAATCTAAAATAAAAAGAGATTAGTTTTATTTATTTAAGATATACAACTCACCATTGAAATCGAATGAAGATGAATCTAAATATAGAATAAAAATGTTATTTTTATTTATTTAAGGTATATAACTCACCATTGAAATTTGATGAATATCAATCTAAATATAGAATAAAGATATTAGTTTTGTTGTTTTAAAATATATAAGATACCATTTGGATGCGATCGATATGAAGTGAATTTGAAAGGGAAATATTTATTTCATTTCCAGGACATTACTCATCGTGAGTATTACGTTAGAATGAATCTACTCAATCGAAGAGAAAGATCGATCGTTTTTATGAACTAATTCACTTACTACTAATACGGGATGAATATAAAACTCGATAAAGTTTTTCTTTGTTTCATTTTCAAATAGGTATAGGAGGATAAATATGTTACGAACATAAATAACGATTTATAAGTAGAAAACATTTATCTCTTAGTGCTAAGATAGAATTTAGCATCGATATATCGGCCAAGTAGAAGAAATGATTAAAGACGCATTGTTTCATTTTATTTTATTTTATATATCAGAAAATAGTCATAAAAGAAATGAGGATCGAAAAGAAGAAGGCTTTGTAAGATAAGTGCTTCTTTAGCGATCATAATGTGATATTTTACACAAGAAAATCAATAAGAAAAAAAGAGTACATCACATTAGTTACATTTGTCCTACTTTTGTAATATGAGAAGGACATAATGAGAACGAATTACGGGAAAAAAATGTTTAATTTTTAATTGACCGAAGAATTATGATAAACGTGATTTCTTGAATTGTAGACGACTTGAAGATCTTGTTATATGTTCGTGAGATGTTGTTGGTTTACGTTTTTTTGGACATTGTGCTGCTTTAGTTACAGGTTCAATGTTAAAAGAACTGGTCTCAATTGTCTCAAAAATATTTTCATCGACAGCAGGTTTTGAAGATTGTTTCTTCGATGACATAGATTTTTTTTTGACGTGGTTGATATTACAATCGGATTTTCTTCTACAACTAACAATGAAATATAATAGAAAACCAAAATAACTATTAAAGAGGAATTTTTGAAATAATAGATCAAAGTTTTTTTTGTTTTGAATAGTAATGCGAAATTGTTTACTTTTGGTTGAAAAATGACATTTTCATAGAACGATCAGTTTATAGTATTATTTTTAACACTTACCTAAAGCTGGCGCATGATTAAGTGAATGATTCGTTACTGATTCTTGTTCCATATCATTAATTGTTTGATTTTGAATGGGATCAACTTTTTCAACTACATCTAAACTATTTTCATTTGATTGCATTGATATTGTACTTTGAGTTATATTACTATTATTCAATGTTGTTGCTGTTATTGTACTTAGATGTTGACGAACAACTAATTTATTTTTAATTGTATAATCCCATGATACAAGAAGATTTTTTAATGATTTAGTAAGTTCATTTTGATCTTGAAACATTATTGCATACAGTAAATGAACACCACGAGAATGACGTACGAATTTTACTTGAAAAATATTGTATAAACTAAGTAAAATTGAAATTACCTCTTGAGCAGATGTTGTTTGTACAATAAGCTGATAATCAAGATAGAGCTCGTATTTATCATCCAAAATTTTAATACAAGGTGTAGGTGATATTGGATCCTGAAAAGAGAAAGATACAATGAACGTTTAATTTTTTAAAACGTTAGAAATTAATAAATAAATCGTCACAATATATTTCAATACAGTTTAAAATATAAACAAAGTTAAGATTACTTTTTCTGTTAAGACATATGATATGGGATCCTTGAAATATTGATACAATAGTTTTATTACTCGGATTGGTAAACATCTGAAACCAAAATAGAAATCTATTTATAAACATGATTTTGGCTATTTAAATATTATTTTACCTGATATGAACATTGAATTATCTGGTAATTTTTCAAATAAAACTGGTAAAAATGATTCTACATTATGCTCAAGATCTATATCAGTTGTGATTCGAATCTCTTCTAAATCAGAAAAGATATAATTTGGATTAGGTTTGACGATAACAGAATTTTTACGCAACTTACTAAGCATGATAATGCGTAAGCCGGATACTCGGATAACATTTCTTTGATTGAATGGTCACGTACAAATAGTCGTCCAGAAGAAAAAAATTTTCTCCACAAATATGTTAAGACATCCATATCATATGGTTGTTTATTAAATTCATCTTTCATCATCTAGTCGAGGAATAAACAACTAGAAGAGGAAAAAAGAATATTATAATCAGTTAAAAGAGATGTCCGAGAATCAAAATTAAGATAACTTACCAATTTTTCAGTTTTTCGCTCGGCTGAAACTAAATCACTTTTTTTTATTGGTCTACCTAGACCTTTGCCGAACTTGCTTTTATTTCGTTGAACTTGTGTATTAATCTTTTGTAATGGTTTTCTTTCATTCTTAAACTTCTGTTTAATAGATTCTCTATATTCATTTTAAAAAAAAAGAATATTTATTTGTACATTATATTTTGTATATAATATAAGAGTCCGTTTTTAAAACTCACCAAAACATTTTGATTATCCACTGGAATATTTAATGATCGTAATACAGCTTTTGTGATAATAAGATAATCTTGTGCTTTTGGATATCTGAAAGAGAACAGTTACATATTTGAAATTTAAATTAAAAGACATAAAAGCAGCTGTTACTTACAACAATTGATGTTTGTTTGCAATATCATCATAAATCAAATTTAACAATACTTTTCTAAAGTAGCTATGAGGAGCTAATTTTGTCAAATCGTTCTGATCAACAACAAACTGAAGATCATCTGGAAATGTTGGTAATTTATAGTCATCCTGAAGTTTGATTTTATTCGCTTCAATTTGATTATCATTTTCTTCATTATCAGAATGATTTTTATTCGAATCAAATAATGAAACTTCAGTATTTTCTATAACTATTTCTTCAACAAATGGAACAGAATCAGAAGATCTCATATTTTCATCTATAAGTAGTAATTGTTCTTCTGAATCATTATCATCGATCGATGTTGAATTTGATTGATCTTTTTCTGTACATAGTTTGGATAATAATTTTTCACGTTCATCCATAAATATTGTACTTTGTTTTAATTTAGGAAACAAAATTTTAATTTCTTCAAAACGTAATTTCATCAGCAAATTTCCATCAATTTCCTCATAGTCAAACGCATTAAAACATTAACAAAATATGAGTGTTTTACAAAGTAAACGTCAAGTCCATACGGAAGTATATTCAAACAATCATGTAAGTTTATAATAGAAAATTTTTGTAGATAATTGATCTCATAAGACCACATAGTTTGATCAAATGATAAAGTCTCTAGATGCTGAACAACTAACTTCCATGAATCATTTATCTTCAATATGTGACGAAGAAAAACAAATTCAGGAACTTCTTCTTCATGATGCAATGCTATAATAAAAACAGAGTTTTTTTTATATATTTAACATGTTTATGAATTAATGTTTGAGATTCAATATATGTTAATAAATCATATTGATGTTGTACTAATAGAAGTCTTATCTCAACTGGTAATTGTGATGGGTTGATAATTTTAGTTGATACGGGTTTATCGATTAAGTTGTGGAAGTTGTCATAGGATAATAATAAAGCAAGTCGTAGTTGATGTCTCTTTGCCAAAGTGAAAGGAACATTTTTAAAACTACATGAACGTGTTGCAAGTCTTTTAAAATATAAATGTTTGCCTTGGAATCGTTGGCACCAATAGTTACGTGGTGGTCCATTTCTTTTGATTAATTCCGAATAATGAGTAATAAAATGTACTTTAGCAGTAACATAATCTGGTAATCTTTCAATCATAAGTGAATGAAAAGTTATGGTTAAGGTTTTTAAATAAGCAAGCCATGGTTTTCTTATTTTGGTTGCAAATACAATTGAAACAATCTCACGAAGACAAATATATATAGGCAATATATCAGTTAAACGATCGATGACATCATTGAATATAACGTGTAACAACTGAAATAACAAACGTTTTTGTGAAGCTGATCCACCAATGTGATTGTTGGTCAGATGTTTTTGTTTAGTTACTGGTGGTTTGTTGGATTCATCATTTTGTCTATATTTAAAATCTTCTAATCTTGATTCTATTTGTGCATAAGCAAGAATACGGCGTACAGAAAATGCTTTTAATATAGAATTGATCATAATCATACATACTCCTATAGAAAAGAAAGAAGTATATGCATCAGTAGTAAATCAATATGATTTACCTTCTGAGTAATCATGCATGATATCAAAAGGCAAAGACTTTACAGGATGAAATGCAATTAAATTTGACAAATCACTTGTATCATTTATACCACAAATATGTATATTTGATTTTAATACTTGTTTTAAATGAATTTCATGTGATATCTCAGTACGCAGTAAAAAAGAAATATTAGTCAATGGAATAGATTTATATTCATAAGAAACATAACACATTCTACAGAAATGGCCATGATTGAAGTTCTTCTGGAATCCTCCAAGATCATGAACCGCTAAATTGTCAGCAGCAATTAAATCAAATGCAAAATACAAACGTCCAGTAAATGTAAATACTGTTAAACCTTTTTCTTATAATTCATTCAAATCCTAGATCATAGCATCAAAATATACTCGACGCTGTAATGAATTAGTTAACAATTTAGATAAACAAATACCAAGTAAATTGATAGAATATAATAATGATCGAACAATTGGACATAAATCATCAAGAAGATAATAAAATAGTAGTAATTTTTTTTCATCCTTTTTTGGTCCAAGAGGGTTAGTGATACCAACTTCATCAGAATATAATTGTATTAAAAATGAATTAATATTTTTCTGAAGTGATTGATTTGTAGCAGCAGCTTTACCATCTCTATACGTCAACAATAAATCTTTATCTTTTTTCGTTGTTGATATTGTTTCATTTATATTTCTAATCAATAAATCCATAACATCTGGTTTATTTAAAAAACTTTGAATAGATTTCTTCATAGAAATAATATAACCAAAATGACCTGATTCATTTAATTCTACTCTTTGTGGCTCTTCATATTAAAAGAAATCTTTGCAACTCTTTATGAATTGATATTCATTTTTTGCTGTTGCTTCTATTGCACGAATTATTTGACCAATAATTTCTTCAATTTTTATTATTGGTACAACGGTGGCTACTGTTGCATCTGGATCACGTTCTATATTTTTTATAATTTTAAGAACAACATTGAATAAAAGTGAAAAATTGGATGTAATCGATAAAATAATGTTTTGAGAAAGTAAATGTTGTTCACGTAATTCCAGAAGAAAACGTGTATAATATTTCTGAAATTTTCGCATATCAAATGATTCTTCATCATTTTCTGAAATTGTTCTTGTAAATATTGGATAATCAACATCCATTGCTTCATCAACATCCATAGCATCATCATATTGAGTAGTTGATTGAAAATTCTGATCGTTTTCATTGTTAATTATTTCACGTTCAAATGTATCAGCACCAGCATAAGAAAACTGAGAACTATTATTTGAATCATCGTCAACAGAACAGATTATATCTTTTTTACCGGCAGATTTTTAAATAAGGTCTCGATGGTATTTATAAATATGAGATCTGTAGCTTGGAAATGTTCTGTAGATAGAACCGCATTCAGGATTTAATTCACATCGTACTTTGAATGATGGATCAGTACCATGAAGAAAATTTATATGTGTATATAAAGAATCAAACGAGGAGTATGCAGGAGAATTAATACACAATTGACAGAAGTAAAAATTTCCATTCATTTTATAGATTTAAATTAGAAAACCAAATACTAAAACAATACACTAATAACTATTTAAAAATATTTTAATAATTCAGACAATTAAAAAATCTGAAACAAGCGGTGTTGATAGTTTCATTTAGGATGTATGTTTGTATTCATATAAGTAATACTGTATGAATCAAAAAGAAAGAAAATAAATTACCTTCAAAAGATTTAATAACATTTTCATCTTGAATGAAGGGTTTTAATAAACACCAAGTTCAAACTAAAAAAAAGAAAAAGCAATTGATTGAAATACAATCTTACAAAGGAAGTTAAGTTATGAAATAAAGTTATTAAAACACTGTACTGTATTTGAAGTATCAATAGAGGGTTCTTCGAAAAAAGTAACTTCACTTCTACAATGAAAACAGCACTTATTTCAGTACTATATAATGGAAGTAAAAGCAGACGTAAATATATAATTCTGTAGTCTAGAATAACATCAATAGACCTTAATCTTTGTATTGTAACAGTCATTGTTATGACATTGTATTAGCAAAAAGATCATGAAATTTTATATAAAGATTAAAAATAACAAATATGAGTAGTAGAACCAATGTACCTTTTTAATTGTTTGATGAGATTATTATTAATTAATAAGACTTTTATTGAAATTATGATTAACTTCGACTTAATTCTAATACAAATGAAAATAGTATAGGTTAATAATAGAATTAAAATACCTTTATAATGGTAGATTACGATGACTATTTACGGTTAAGTATTTTCAATAAATTTGTTATTCGTATTCATCTGCTTCTGAAATAAATAATAAGTAAACAAGTTCGATATATTGAATCAATAGAAAAGAAATTCATTTGTTCTTCAAATTTCAAATAAATAAAATACATGGACATTATCCATCGTCGACACTTATCGTCCGATAAACATATAATAAAGTATGGCGAAGATAAAGAAAGAGAACTAATAAAAAAAAGGTTCTGTCAAATACAGCCAGAACTATATCTGAAAAAATAGTTCTGTCAACTTTAGTCTAAACCATTTTAGAAAAAATGTTATTATTCGTATGCTCGTACAGAATCTTTTCAGTTTGTTACCACGATGAAAGCAACTTTTCATCTTTTAATATTGAGAGACAGAATCTCACAAGTTTCTGCATTATTACACAAAATATTTTCGACTCATTATAATTTGATAAAATTTTTTATATAGTTCAGCATTGCTGGGCAGAACCTTTTAAGGTTCAGTATTATCTAGGAGAACCCTGTGAATTTAACATAACTATAAACAGATCCTCTTGGAGTTCCGAGATCATTAGGCAGAACTTATCTAGGTTCGGAAGCTATGGACAGAACTTTTTGTTTATTTAGGAACTTGTAAGTCACTTTCCATAGTTTAGCACTTTCACACAGGACCCTTTATGGTTCTGTGTTTGTAATTCAGAACTTGGTCAGTTCAGCATTGTCTAATACAAATCTTTGTATGGTTTAACAATAACCGACGGAACCTTTTGAAGTTCCGTACCTGTAAGGCACAACCTAATGGATTCATCACCCTTTAAGAAACAGCGTTGTAGGGTTTCGCACCAAAACTCAGAACCCTTTGTAGTTCGGAGTAATTAGCAAGAAGTTTTTATGGTTCAGCTTTATTGAGCGGAACCTTTATTGGTTTTTGTAATGCTTTGCAGAACTTTAAATAGTTCAGTAGAACTCCTTTTTTTTCTGAGTATGATACATGTTAAATAAAAGAAAAATAAAACTATAAATCAATTGATATTATTTTAGAAAGAATAATAAAAACAGAAATATTTTGCCAATCAAATTTAATAAAACCTGGTTTAAGGAATTTAATGGAATGATGTTTAAATAATTGTTTTTTATTTTTTTGATAATCAATTTTATAGACAAATTAAAGGATTACCGATGGGTAATATTTTATCTCCATTGTTAGCAGATTTATATATGCATGATTTTATTGATAATACATTTCATAAAATTAAAGATAAATTATTTAGATACGTAGATGATATTTTTTTTATTACAAAAATGAGGGAAGACGAATTAGAATCTTATGTAAAATTATTAAATTTAAAAAGAACAAAAATAAAGTTTACACTGGAATATAAAAATAAACAAATAAATGTTTTAGATATAAATGCAACTAGAAATATTAATAAACATCTATTAGATATAAGATGGTTTCGTAAACCAACAGCTAATGATAGATTTTTAAATTTTCATTTCAGCAACAACAAATAGGTTTGAATGTGTTAAAACAAATGTTTATAAAATCCAATTATCTAAAAGAATTAATAGAAAAAACTATAGAAAAATGTCTACATAATAGTGGTAATGAGTCGAGTCTTAATAATTTAGATGATAGTAATAATAATAATAAAACTTGAAACAAAATTTACATTATTAGTATCATATGTAAGAGGAATAGAGGTTCTTCAACGTAAATTAGAACAAATTAGTATTAAGTTATACCTTGCATATCCTTTAAAATTAAAATTTTTAACAGCTTCAAATATAAGACCTCAGTTAAAATCTGTTGTATATCAAACGAATTGTATATGTGGTGCGATTTATAATGGAGAGGCAAAAATTAGATTAAAAGATAGAATGAAACAACACAAATATACGAAAAAAGTTAATGATATAAATTCATTATCAGAAATAGTTAAACATCATCATATTAAAAATAAACAATGTTCCTTTCATCCGGATACAGCATTTATGATGGATAATGAAACAAATTATTGGAAAAGAAGAAAAAAGGAAGCAATCTATTCGATAATATATAAATCCATTAATAGATTTGATTGAATAGATGATAGTTGAAAAAATCTTATATATAAACAATCAAAAATGATTAAACATATAACTGATAATAAACAAAAAAGTAATATTGTACAATTTCTACTCTATTGAAGAACGTTATTAATGTTCGAAACGTCAGTTAATATTCATGTTATAACATCTCATTCATTTTATTTATTTATATTTTATTATTAAATGATCAAAATATATATTAAGTTTTTATTTTTATTTCTATTTAATAAATTATAATTGTTTATTGGAAAAGAAAAGAAAAAGGAAGAGACAAAAACTATTATTAAAACTACGATCTGGAATCAGGAAGAGTAGAGTTGAAATCAGTTCATAGACGAATCGGGAAAGGATAGACTCGAATCGAGAGCTAGTATATTCTACGTAAGATCGAGAGTGAATTCGTATAGGTATTCCTAGAATTTTGAATCATATTTATCGATTGCAACACTTTCTATTAATCTGAAAATCAACTAAAATTTTCTGCTTCCAAATGAAAATGTTTCCAATAAAACTAATAAAGCATTGTAATCTTAACTTGAATATATTCATAATAATAAATCCATATATATACATCTAAAAAAAAACTAATAAAGAGTTCCAATTTTGGTATAAATGCTTACTAAACATATCGCAGAAAATAAGCATACCACAAATACTCTGTACACTGACTTATATATGTGAATGGTCAGTACTTCTATAATGAGAATTGTTTAGATTACTTTTTGCAAATTCAATTTCATTTTCGAGTGACATTCACTATCAGTATTGTTTTTCCATTTTTGAAGATAATGATTTCTCTCAAAGGTCCAACTAAATTTCAACAACTTAACAAAAATAGATAGTTATGTGGTTTTACAATAATTATTAATATAAAATAATGATAATAATAGCTTTCGAGTCGGCAGACTCATCATCAGTTGCAGTTACTAATCGAAAATGTAGACGTATTAATAACGAATAAATAGTACCTATATACCACAATACTGATTAATTTTTGTCAAGTTAATATCAAAGTCCTATATTTTAATCGTATTTCGTTTCAGTATATTTCGGCAACTTCAAAAATCAAATATTTTCTCGAAATTCTAAAATCTATGAGCCACTAAAAAAAGTTTAAAAATTCTTTGGCATAGTTACAGTCAATTTTCAACAAAATGGATTTTAACCAAAAAAACTATCGCGAACAGTTACTTCGCATTTTGAAAATTTTCAAAATCTCGAAGTTCAAACCTTTACTAGTTTTGAGAAGTCCAGCTTGAAAGTAGTCCTAATTTATGATCTACCATAACATGATTCTCATTTAGTCCAATCAATCACAGACACAGCACAGGGTCAGGAACATATATTTGCAAGGATTATTGGGTGTAACTACAACTTCACCCAGTTTTCCACTCAGAACACCCACTTTTTGGTCGATGACCCCTACTTAGGCTACACCATTCGGTACAGAATTAAATTATCTATCTATCCCACGAGTCTTAGCCATATACCAAGTTCCTCGGCGAATGTCTTCAAGAAATACTCGAATCTGCTGCTAACTTTATTTTCGTCTAGAATTAGAGAAAATATATTTAATAGAGATATTCTTAAATAAGAAATTATTTCAAGATACTTTCTTACTTAAAAAAACAAGTAACGCTCGTCCGAGGACTCGCTTAGCTCTTTTTCGTAGAAATGCATTTTCTTCAAATTTCCTGGAAAAACAAATGCAAACCGTAAAAAAAAACAAAATCGATTTTCGATGTTTCTTGACCCTGCGGACAGACAATCAACCAATCAGACAATTTATGTTTACTGGACTCTTCTCCACGAGAAAGAGATTAAGTATTCGATTATGTAATCTTTTAAATATTACAAATACATTGCCTAGTCGTAGTTATTGGAAAACTTTCTCATACCTCATATGAAAATCATTACTCCAAATAACAAATCTATGATTCATCAGTTGAACATTCCTTCCTACGCTTAATTACTTTTATATGAAAACCCTCAAGTTATTCAACTGATCATCAGTTCCTTTCTCTCTTCTTAAACGGATAGTAGAATGTGCAGCGCACACTGCGATTAGAAATATGTGTTTATATTTCGTTCTGTTCTGTTCTGTTCTATTCTGCCTGTTCGTTTTCATCTATGCTTCATTAGTTTTATATTCTTTTTTGTATAATTTTTATCACTGCTTACACACTACACGTGCATTACATCAGTAATATACATGAATATATGTATCGATGTGTAAACTGAAACGAAATAAAAACACCATTACTACACCGGTAAGATACTTAAAACGCGAAATGATTTTACATTAACGATAAACTTTTGTTTTTCATTTTAAGATGATTTCAGTGGTAACATTATCGTATGATTTTTTTCTGAAAATGAACAGAGT